TGTTCATACAGCAGTGAGTCATCCTTTAACACCACTCTGGGTATTTTGAAAACAGTGAGAAAACTCTCCTCCGAGTCGCCGATCACTGAGCACATAGACGGGTATTGTTCATACAGCAGTGAGTCGTCCTTTAACACCATTCTGGTATTTTGAAAACAGTGAGAAAACTCTCCTCCGAGTCGCCGATCACTGAGCACATAGATGGGTATTGTTCATACAGCAGTGAGTCATCCTTTAACACCACTCTGGGTATTTTGAAAACCATGAGAAAACTCTCCTCCGAGTCGCCGATCGCCGAGCACATAGACGGGTATGGTTCATACAGCAGTGACTCATCCTTTAACACCATTCTGGGTATTTTGAAAACCGTGAGAAAACTCTCCTCCGAGTCGCCGATCGCCGAGCACATAGACGGGTATTGTTCATACAGCAGTGAGTCATCCTTTAACACCACTCTGGGTATTTTGAAAACCGTGAGAAAACTCTCCTCCAAGTTGCCATCGTCGAGCACATAGATGGGTATTGTTCATACAGCAGTGAGTCATCCTTTAACACCACTCCGGGTATTTTGAAAACCATGAGAAAACTCTCCTCCGAGTCGCCGATCGCCGAGCACATAGACGGGTATGGTTCATTCAGCAGTGACTCATCCTTTAACACCATTCTGGGTATTTTGAAAACCGTGAGAAAACTCTCCTCCAAGTTGCCATCGTCGAGCACATAGACGGGTATTGTTCATACAGCAGTGACTCATCCTTTAACACCACTCTGGGTATTTTGAAAACCGTGAGAAAACTCTCCCCTGAGTCGCCGTTGCCGAGCACATAGACAGGTATTGTTCATACAGCAGTGAGTCGTCCTTTAACACCATTCTGGTATTTTGAAAACAGTGAGAAAACTCTCCTCCGAGTCGCCGATCACTGAGCACATAGACGGGTATTGTTCATACAGCAGTGAGTCATCCTTTAACACCACTCTGGGTATTTTGAAAACCGTGAGAAAACTCTCCTCCGAGTCGCCGATCACTGAGCACATAGATGGGTATTGTTCATAGAGCAGTGAGTCATCCTTTAACACCACTCTGGGTATTTTGAAAACCGTGAGAAAACTCTCCTCCAGGTTGCCGATCACTGAGCACATAGATGGGTATTGTTCATACAGCAGTGAGTCATCCTTTAACACCACTCTGAGTATTTTGAAAACAGTGAGAAAACTCTCCTCCGAGTCGCCGATCACTGAGCACATAGACGGGTATTGTTCATACAGCAGTGAGTCGTCCTGTAACACCATTCTGGTATTTTGAAAACAGTGAGAAAACTCTCCTCCGAGTCGCCGATCACTGAGCACATAGACGGGTATTGTTCATACAGCAGTGAGTCGTCCTTTAACACCATTCTGGTATTTTGAAAACAGTGAGAAAACTCTCCTCCGAGTCGCCGATCACTGAGCACATAGACGGGTATTGTTCATACAGCAGTGAGTCATCCTTTAACACCATTCTGGGTATTTTGAAAACCGTGAGAAAACTCTCCTCCGAGTCGCCGATCGCCGAGCACATAGACGGGTATTGTTCATACAGCAGTGAGTCATCCTTTAACACCACTCTGGGTATTTTGAAAACCGTGAGAAAACTCTCCTCCAAGTTGCCATGGTCGAGCACATAGATGGGTATTGTTCATACAGCAGTGAGTCATCCTTTAACACCACTCTGGGTATTTTGAAAACCATGAGAAAACTCTCCTCCGAGTCGCCGATCGCCGAGCACATAGACGGGTATTGTTCATTCAGCAGTGACTCATCCTTTAACACCATTCTGGGTATTTTGAAAACCGTGAGAAAACTCTCCTCCAAGTTGCCATCCTCGAGCACATAGACGGGTATTGTTCATACAGCAGTGACTCATCCTTTAACACCACTCTGGGTATTTTGAAAACCGTGAGAAAACTCTCCTCCAAGTTGCCGATCACTGAGCACATAGACGGGTATTGTTCATACAGCAGTGAGTCATCCTTTAACACCACTCTGGGTATTTTGAAAACCGTGAGAAACTCTCCCCTGAGTCGCCGTTGCCGAGCACATAGACAGGTATTGTTCATACAGCAGTGAGTCGTCCTTTAACACCATTCTGGTATTTTGAAAACAGTGAGAAAACTCTCCTCCGAGTCGCCGATCACTGAGCACATAGACGGGTATTGTTCATACAGCAGTGAGTCGTCCTTTAACACCATTCTGGTATTTTGAAAACAGTGAGAAAACTCTCCTCCAAGTCGCCGATCACTGAGCACATAGACAGGTATTGTTCATACAGCAGTGAGTCGTCCTTTAACACCATTCTGGTATTTTCAAAACAGTGAGAAAACTCTCCTCCGTATCGCCGATCACTGAGCACATAGATGGGTATTGTTCATACAGCAGTGAGTCGTCCTTTAACACCATTCTGGTATTTTGAAAACCGTGAGAAAACTCTCCTCCGAGTCGCCGATCACTGAGCACATAGACGGGTATTGTTCATACAGCAGTGAGTCATCCTTTAACACCACTCTGGGTATTTTGAAAACAGTGAGAAAACTCTCTTTCGAGTCGCCGATCAATGAGCACATAGACGGGTATTTTTCATACAGCAGTGAGTCGTCCTTTAACACCATTCTGGTATTTTGAAAACCGTGAGAAAACTCTCCCCTGAGTCGCCGTCGCCGAGCACATAGACAGGTATTGTTCATACAGCAGTGAGTCGTCCTTTAACACCACTCTGGGTATTTTGAAAACCGTGAGAAAACTCTCCCCCGAGTCGCCGTCGCCGAGCACATAGACGGGTATTGTTCATACAGCAGTGACTCATCCTTTAACACCACTCTGGGTATTTTGAAAACCGTGAGAAAACTGTTCCCCGAGTCGCTGTCACCGAACCGAGCACATAGACGGGTATGGTTCATACAGCAGCGAGTCATCCTTTAACACCATTCTGGGTATTTTGAAAACCGTGAGAAAACTCTCCTCCGAGTCGCCGATCACCGAGCACATAGACGGGTATTGTTCATACAGCAGTGAGTCATCCTTAAACACCATTCTGGGTATTTTGAAAACCGTGAGAAAACTCTCCTCCGAGTCGCCGATCGCCGAGCACATAGACGGGTATTGTTCATACAGCAGTGAGTCATCCTTTAACACCACTCTGGGTATTTTGAAAACAGTGAGAAAACTCTCCCCTGAATCGCCGATCGCCGAGCACATAGACGGGTATTGTTCATACAGCAGTGACTCATCCTTTAACACCATTCTGGGTATTTTGAAAACCGTGAGAAAACTCTCCTCCAAGTTGCCATCGTCGAGCACATAGACGGGTATTGTTCATACAGCAGTGACTCATCCTTTAACACCACTCTGGGTATTTTGAAAACCGTGAGAAAACTCTCCTCCAAGTTGCCGATCACTGAGCACATAGATGGGTATTGTTCATACAGCAGTGAGTCATCCTTTAACACCACGCTGGGTATTTTGAAAACCGTAAGAAAACTCTCCTCCAAGTTGCCGATCACTGAGCACATAGATGGGTATTGTTCATACAGCAGTGAGTCATCCTTTAACACCACTCTGGGTATTTTGAAAACAGTGAGAAAACTCTCCTCCGAGTCGCCGATGCACATAGACGGGTATTGTTCATACAGCAGTGAGTCGTCCTTTAACACCATTCTGGTATTTTGAAAACCGTGAGAAAACTCTCCTCCGAGTCGCCGATCACCGAGCACATAGACGGGTATTGTTCATACAGCAGTGAGTCATCCTTAAACACCATTCTGGGTATTTTGAAAACCGTGAGAAAACTCTCCTCCGAGTCGCCGATCGCCGAGCACATAGACGGGTATTGTTCATACAGCAGTGAGTCATCCTTTAACACCACTCTGGGTATTTTGAAAACAGTGAGAAAACTCTCCCCTGAATCGCCGATCGCCGAGCACATAGACGGGTATTGTTCATACAGCAGTGACTCATCCTTTAACACCATTCTGGGTATTTTGAAAACCGTGAGAAAACTCTCCTCCAAGTTGCCATCGTCGAGCACATAGACGGGTATTGTTCATACAGCAGTGAGTCATCCTTTAACACCACTCTGGGTATTTTGAAAACCGTGAGAAAACTCTCCTCCAAGTTGCCGATCACTGAGCACATAGATGGGTATTGTTCATACAGCAGTGAGTCATCCTTTAACACCACGCTGGGTATTTTGAAAACCGTAAGAAAACTCTCCTCCAAGTTGCCGATCACTGAGCACATAGATGGGTATTGTTCATACAGCAGTGAGTCATCCTTTAACACCACTCTGGGTATTTTGAAAACAGTGAGAAAACTCTCCTCCGAGTCGCCGATGCACATAGACGGGTATTGTTCATACAGCAGTGAGTCGTCCTTTAACACCATTCTGGTATTTTGAAAACAGTGAGAAAACTCTCCTCCGAGTCGCCGATCACTGAGCACATAGACGCGTATTGTTCATACAGCAGTGAGTCGTCCTTTAACACCACTCTGGGTATTTTGAAAACCGTGAGAAAACTCTCCTCCGAGTCGCCGATCACTGAGCACATAGACGGGTATTGTTCATACAGCAGTGAGTCGTCCTTTAACACCACTCTGGGTATTTTGAAAACCGTGAGAACACTCTCCTCCGAGTCGCCGATCACTGAGCACATAGACGGGTATTGTTCATACAGCAGTGAGTCGTCCTTTAACACCATTCTGGGTATTTTGAAAACCGTGAGAAAACTCTCCTCCGAGTCGCCGAGTACCTGTGCACATAGACGGGTATGGTTCACACAGCAATGAGTCGCCCTTTAACACCACTCTTGGTATTTTGAAAACCGTGATGATCATTGTATAGACTGATACACTGATCCTCATGAAAACCTTGAAAACCTTAAGAAAAATCTCCCCGCAGTGGGAGGCGGAGCCTCTGGACCCCTATTTAAGCAGGTGCGGATCGTGGCTACGAGACACTTGAGCTTTTGATGTGGATTCGGATATTTCGGTTGCTCGGATTAGAAGAAGACATGGAAAACGGTGAGTCGGCAGGCGGAGATGCGGCACGAGTTGAGGGAAGGAGGCGCTGGTCGGGATCGCAGGGAGAGGGGAGGGGCAGCTTCTGAGCGGCCCCTCCAAGGGATGCTTTTCTCGATGCATCCCAGTTTTACACGGCTTTTGGTTTTCCTCTTTAAATTGCACACCACCTAGAGCAGTGGTGCAATGTAAAATTTGTTAGTACCGGTTCTGTGGGCGTGGCTTGGTGGGGGATAATATGACTGAGTGGGCGTGGCCAAATTTTATTTTTTTAACTTTTAAAACCATTTTTTCGGCCAAAGATGTTGTAGAAGAAATGCTTTTAAAAATTTTTTAAAAAGCCTCTGATGATTGTGAGGCACAGCTGGGCAATGGGGGGGGGGGCAGGGATTTTTGCTACCGGTTCTCCACCCGCCTCCATTGCTATCGGATCCGGCGATCTGGTCCGAACCGGTAGCATTTCACCCTGGCCCAGAGTGTCTCGGGGATTTGGGTGCAGGGTATCCAAATTCCAGGAAGAAAAATAAAGTGTAAAGTGGCGGGATCCACTCAGTTGGGATTCAATTTTTTTTAACAACCGGTTCTGTGGGCGTGGCTTATTTGAGTGGGCATGGCTTGGAGGTCATGTGACTGGGGTGGGCGTGGCTAGCTGATCATGTGACCGGGTGGGTGTGGCTATGTGTATAGGGACTACTCAGAGAGCTGAAAAAAGTCATTTCTGACCGGTCCTCGCACTTTTGACTAGACCTCACACTTATGACTATTCTCACATTTATACCCGTTGCAGCATTCTTAACAACCATGTCACTCATTTCACAACTGCTTCTCTTCACCATGGTTACAAGATAGGGCAAAAAACATAAAATGTGAGGACAGTCGTAAGTGCAAGGACTGGTCAAAAGGGCGAGGACTGGTCAAAAATAACTTTTTCAGCCCTCTGAGTAGTCCATATCCAGATAGGGACTACCCAGAGGGCTTAAAAAAGTGATTTCTGACAGGTACTCGCGCTTTTGACCATTCCGCCCAGAGTCCTTGGAGAGTGGGCGGCATAGAAATATGACTAATAATAATAATAATAATAATAATAATAATAATAATAATAATAATAATAATAATAATAATAATAATAATACTTAACTACTTAAAAATCCCACCACTGGATCCACTCCGTCAAAAACCACCTGCGGAAGGAGCTGCCAGGAGCGCCTAACACCCTCTCCGCTCCTCCATCTTCCTCAAATAGGGGAAAATGCCACCGCATTCCCCCCCCCCCCCACACACACACACTCCAGCGATGCCACAACATCCCCAGCCGGCCTAAGGGGGCTTCCGAGAAATCCAGCTGGGGAAAGCGTGATCCTGGACCTCCCTCCGGCCACTGAAGCTTTAGCCTTGGAAGAAGCCGGCTAGTGGGAACCAGCTGGATTCCCTCATTTCCACCTTCCTCGCTGCAGCTCTTCCCCATCTGAGATCGCGATCCTTTTGAAAGGGAGAGGAGGATCGGCCCACAGCTAAATCTGTGCGGAGGGACCCAGACTGGCATCTTGGATGAATCTTCCTCTGGGATCAATTGTCTAATAATCCTTTCGCTGTTCCTTGTTGCAGGACCCAGGAGACTGGAGGCGAGCCTCCTTCTGGCTCTCCTTCTGACTCTCCCTCTCCTAGGGCCCCCCAGATTCGAAGGTCAGTTTGGGGAGGACCCGGACTCCTTGGCTCCCTCCCTCGGGGTTTGAAGGGGGGCGTGGACCGTCGTGATGTGTGCGTGCGTCTGTTCGGGTGTCTGTATCTGTGTGTGTTTTCATCTCGGGTCAATTGAACCCTTGCAGGTGCAAACGAAGCCCCGAGAGGGTTGGATCTGAAGGTGGAACTGGGCCTTTCCCTAATCTCAGGTGAGGCTCTGCCGTCCTTGCGTTCTCCGGGCACCCACCGTTCCTGGGAGGCCCTGAGTTAGGACCCTGGGAGGGAAACTGGATGGGGATTGAATGCCCAAATCTCCCCCCCCCCAAAAAAGCCCCAATGGCGACCAACTGTCTGAAATTTATCTCTGCTGCTCTTCCAGCTCAGGGTGGATTCCAGTGTGAGGCCCGTTTTCAGATCCAGCCTGATATTCCTCCGGTTGGAGGTGAGTGCGAAAGAGAAGCGGGGGATCGTCCTCTGACAGCCACCCCTGCAGAGGAATTGCCTGCAGCATGAACGGGGTGTGTTGGGGAGGGTCTCGGTACAGAAGCCCCCTGGGATCAGGGGGTGCCGAGAGTGCCTGGAAATACAATGCCGACTGGCGGCCCCCAGGGGGAGAGCCTTCTCTGTGGGGGCACCTACTATCTGGAACGAGCTCCCCCCAGAGATACGGAGGATCCCGGATCTGCGCACCTTCCGCCGCGCTTTAAAGACCTTTCTATTTCACCAGGCGGGCCTGGCCTAATTTTCTCCCTTTTATAAAAGATGTTTAATTTTTAAATATCTGTTAGTATTTTATACATTCAATTTTAAATTGGTTTTAAAAGTTTGGGGTTTTAAATTTGTCAGGGCCAAAATTATTTAATTTGATTTTATCCTACTTTTAAATTTTGTATGTATGTGTTTTATTGTTTGGCTGTGCACCGCCCTGAGTCCTTCCGGAGTAGGGCGGTATAGAAATCAAATAAATCAAATAAATAAATAAAATATATCTTCCTCTGGGATCAATTGTCTAATAATCCTTCCGCTGTTCCTTGTTGCAGGACCCAGGAGACTGGAGGCGAGCCTCCTTCTGGCTCTCCTTCTGACTCTCCCTCTCCTAGGGCCCCCCAGATTCGAAGGTCAGTTTGGGGAGGACCAGGACTCCTTGGCTCCCTCCCTCGGGGTTTGAAGGGGGGCGTGGACCGTCGTGATGCATGCGTGCGTGTTTGGGTGTCTGTATCTGTGTGTGTTTTCATCTCGGGTCAATTGTCCCTTTGCAGGTGCAAACGAAGCCCCGAGAGGGTTGGATCTGAAGGTGCAACTGGGCCTTTCTCTAGTCTCAGGTGAGGCTCTGCCGTCCTTGCGTTTCTCCGGGCACCCACCGTTCCTGGGAGGCCCTGAGTTAGGACCCTGGGAGGGAAACTGAATGGGGATCGAATGCCCAAATTCCCCCGCAAAGAGCCCCAATGCCGACCAACTGTCTGAAATTGACCTCTGTTGCTCTTGCAGCTCCAGATGGATTCAAATGTGCGACCAGTCTTCAGTTCCAGACTGAGAATCCTCCGGTCGGAGGTGAGTGCGAAAGAGAAGCGGGGATCGTCCTTGACAGCCACCCCTGCAGAGGAATTGCCTGCAGCCTGAACCGCGTGTGTGGGGGAGGGTCTCGGTGGCAGCTCCTTCTTCTTATGCAGAAGCCCCCTGGCATCAGGGGGTGCCAAGAGTGCCTGAAAATACGGAAAGAGCGCTAGATCATCCAAGGGAACGACCAAGGGGATTCCAAAAGAGATCTGGTTACAGTGCGTCTTTGCAGGATATTGGCTGTCAAGGAAAGATGCTTTGCTCAAAGTCAGGGGGTGGGGAGCTCAGCTGTCACAACTGACTCACCACTCTTTCTTCACAGGTCAAGGGGGATCTTTGCTTCCTTGGAACTTCCACGTTCTCTGGCAAGGGTAAGCAAATTTGAGTTTGGGAGATGTAGGTGGGTTGGCGTGAGAATCGGTCAGGTTTCAGGTAAACCTGACTCCTTTCAATGGGTCTACTCGATGTGCGACTCTTTGGAAGTGTAGACCTCCATCCTGAACTGCCCATCTCTGATCTGGGCAGCTGAGGAACCAGGGAGGAGTTGAGGAAAGGCAGCCCATGTGCCTCACCATAGGGTTGGAAAGGGATCTGTCCCAGAGTCCCTCCCAGATCCTGCCTTGGGAGTCCCCACCACCAGGAAACCCCCCCCCCCAATAGAACCCACAGCTCAGCATCTTCTCCCGGTCCTCAGTCACGGAGTACCCGACTTAAAAAGTACAAAGTGACATATCCCAAGCCCTGATATTCCCTCCAATCCATTTCCGTTATGGATTTGGAGGATATTCCCACATCGAGAGACGGGGGCATTTTAAATCCAGTGTCTTTTCGATGTCTCCGAATGTCTCCAACTCTTTATTGTTTCAGGACAAGACAGATCCAGAGAGGCAGCATATTTTATTATGCTCTTCGGCTGTTCACCGCTTGGTGGTAAGTCCCAGGAAGTGGCCTTTTCAGCCTTGATATAGATCTCACCACCAGCTGGCTGAGCTGTGAGGATGGTGCCTGCGCCCATAGAGTGGGCTCTGCCATAGGTTCACCATTTCGGTTCACAATGAAAACACACAGAAGCCAGTCAAATTTCTCATTTTTCTGAATTAAAAGAGCCTTGGTAGTACAGTGGTTTAAAGCACCCTGTTATTAACACAGCTGCCTGCAATTACTGCAGGTTCGAATCTTACTAGGCTCAAGGTTGACTCAGCCTTCCATCCTTTCTAAGGTAGGTGAAATGAGGACCCAGTTTGTGGGGGCAATAAGCTGACTTTGTATAAATATACAAAAGGATGAAGGCTATTGCTTAACGCATTGTAAGCCGCCCTGAGTCTCCGGAGAAGGGCGGCATATAAATCAAATTATATATATATGAATAATATTCGCTGTTAAATGAATGGTGATCGTTTTCCCTTTGGAGTTTAAGATGCGCCTCACACTGCTTTCTCCTTTTCTTGCCTCCGAAGGAGAATTCCAGGAGGCCTCCAGGTATCTTTTGCCTTCCATAGAAGATGGTAAGTCCCTTTGACCGCAAAGACTGGCCCTCAGATGCTTCCCTTCCCTTCCCATAATGGAAGGATTCAAGGAGAATGAAATCAAGGTCCCCCAATGGTCACCTATTTCTCTCGCTCTTTCATCAATTGCCTGGTGATGGAGGAACAGCAGAACAGCCGTGAGGACCTAATGTTGAGCAACTGCAAAGCCACTTTTGTACCTTTCGTGGGGAGTTGGTCTCTGGTCCAGGGCTATATCCCCACTCACAACACGAAAGAGGACAAATGACTCCTGGGACCTCCAGCGAAAGCCCTCCCCTTCTAAGTAAGCCTCTCCCACATTGAATTCCAGGGAATTTCACAGATCTGCATGCCCAGATCCAGCTGGTGGCTAACTTGGTTTCTTCAGGACTCTGCCGGACACTCCAGACTATCAACGAATTCGATCATGTTCCGGACATAACAACGGCAGTGATTCACTTAACAGCCCTGAGGAGAAAAAATATTTATATATTTTTATATTTTTTAATATTTATATTAAGCTGGCCTGGCGTCATAAGAATCTGGATGGGGTATTTTAACTTTTGGGTTTTTAACTGTGGGACCAAAATATTTAATTTGTTTTTAAATTGTTTTTAAGTTTTGTATTTCATGTTTTTTTATTATGGCTCTACACCGCCCTGAGTCCTTCGTGAGAAGGGCGGTATAAAAAAATCAATCAATTAATCAATAAATAAATATTCAATACATTTGCAGTATAAATGAAAAAATTTGTATTTGCTTCTTTATAACTGTAGGAAACTTGTTAAAATATCGAAGTTTATTATGAGACAGATTATATCAGAGCTGTTTGGAAAACCAATTTCCAGCACTTGTTCAATGAAATATTAAAAAATTAAAAGATCCCATGGAGAAAATCTGCAGTCATTGAGCCACGTTCTGTCCATGAAAATGTGTGTTAATTTGTCTTAGTTCACCGTTAACAGCACCAACTAAGGTTTCTAAATGATCACAGAACTGGGGTCCAATGAGATGTGTGTGGACACATGCGTGTGTGTGTGTGTGTGTGTGTTTGGGAAAGGCTGTTGGTGGGTACAGAAGCCCCCTTGGATTCAGGCTAGGCAGGCTCCATCCCTGGTCTGGGAATCCTGATCGGAGGAGACATTGGAGAGCCCTTCAAGGCGGTCCAGACAACAAACGGGCGAATGAATAGGAGCTCCATCTCTCACTGTAAGGATCCCGTATACGGGACGGCAGTTCACCAGATAGGGTTGCCCAGGGGGTAGTAGTAGAAGCAACGAGAATTCTGGGGAACTGCTACTTCTATCCTCGCACCGCTTCACGGATCCCGTATCCCGGACGGCAGTTCACTAGATATGGATGCCCAGAGGGTGACGGAGCTGTAGTAGTAGAAGGAATGTGGAGGATGGCAGAATTTGAGGCACATCCCCCCCCGCCCCTCTGGTGGGTAAAATGAACTTTCACTCGTAAACTCTTCCTTCATTCCAGAATTATCCAGATCGGAGATGTGGAGTTGGTTAAAAATTGGGGTGGGGTGGGGTGTTTGTTCAAAAGAATCCCAGGTTGCGCAGATCCACAGAAAGGAGTGAGGTTTACCTGATTCCTGATTGATTCTCGCTAAAAGCCCGAAATCTCCCCCAAACTCCAATTGCCTTACCATTGCCAGAGAAAATTGACCTTCCGAGCAAGCAAAGATTCCCCTCCCCCACTGATCCGTGAAGAAACAGGCGGGAGATGTTTGTGACAGCTGAAACTCTCCCCCGCACCCCCACCCCCCACCTCCGAGTTTGAGCAAAGCTGCTTCCACCAAGCATCGCGCGGTGTCAGACACTCGCACTGGGACGTCCAGAGGTGAGCCCAGCCCCACTGCCCGTGGCAGCTGCTTCTTTTTTGGACGGACCGGTCCAAAATCTACTGTATTTCCTTTGTGGAATTTAGCTACCATACTTAGTTAATCAGTCGCGGCGGGTCAGCGGGTGTTGTGCAATCTTTCAACTCTAAACCCGAATAAAAAAAGGACGCTACATCCATAAGGGACACATCAGGGGCCGCTCCCACCCAGCCACCCACCCCACCCCCCCGTTTCCGTGAGTGCCCCTCTAAAGTAGCAGGACGTTCCATTGGCTCGAGATTTCATAGACTCCGATTTTAAGCAAGGCTGTTGTAGAAGTTTATTCTTGGCAGCCGAAAAAAAAAGCCTAGGGTCTTACTTGGGAGTCCAAAGGAAGCGATATTTCCCCTTTTGCTTTTAATTTGTTTTGCTAGCCCTCTGCCAGCGAAAAGCCCCCCCCCACCCCCGCACGACCGTCCCAAGCTCCATTTCCGCTGGCAGAGGCACCGCGGGCCAGTCACTGGCCGTTTCCATGGCTGCCCCGCGGTCCTTGAGTTTGACAGCCCCGGTCCGAGGGCTGGAGTCGGAGGAGCCTTCGTGGCGGTCCCGGAAGACCCATCTGACTCAATCCACCCTCCAACAGTGGGTGTCAATCACTGTGGGCCAGATTGAGCATTGGAGAGCAAAGGCCTGCCGGATGACCGGTGATGGACCCACAAGGAAGAGAAGGGTAAAGGAACCCCTCCACTTACTGCATGTCCACCATTGAGCCTCGAATCTCCGCTGCAAGAGAGAGACAGCTGTTCAGTGAGCTTTCACCCACTTTACGGCTCATCTTGCCACTATTGTTAAGTGGATCGTTGTTTAAGTCAGTCAGACCATGGTTAAGCGAAGCTGGCTCCCCCAGTGACTTTGCTGGTCAGACGGTTGCAAAAAGGAGATCACGTTATGTGACCCCAGGACGACGGCAACTGACCGTCATAAATGCGAGTCAGTTGCTACGCATCCAACTGTAAATCACGTGACCATTGGGATACTGCAATGGCTATGAGCGTGAAAGATGGTCAACAGTGGCACTGCAACTTTGAACGGTCGCTATATGATACGGTCCTAAGTTGAGGACTACCTGTATTGTTTTCTAATTTGACTGCAATCTTTGACTTACCACCATCATGGCCAGCCGTCACCAATGTCTTATGTCCGTACCTCTGATGGCAGGTGGGGGGGGGAATAGCAGCCCAACTGCAGGATCAGGTGCGGGATGGGGAGAGAGCAGAATATCAGTTTATTTTATTATTTTCTTCATCTGAAAAGGGGGATTGTTTTTTCTCCCCACCCCTCAATGTTCCCAATTCGTCTGTATATCTTTTTTTTTTAAATTTGATTTATATGCCGACTCAGGGCGGCTTACAATGCGCTAAGCAATAGCCTTCATTCTTTTTGTATATTTATACAAAGTCAGCTTATTGCCCCCACAACTGGGTCCTCAATTTACCTACCTTAGAAAGGATGGAAGGCTGAGTCAACCTTGAGCCTTGGCGAGATTCGAACCTGCAGTAATGGCAGGCAGCTGGTCTTAATAACAGGGTGCTTTAGACCACTGTACTACCAAGGCCCTTGATCTCAAGATATGCAAATCGAGGTGAATTTGGATACTCCGCACCGAGACACTCTGGGCGGTGTGTAATTTAAAGAGGAAAACCGAATGCTGCGTAAAACTGGGATGCATGGAGAAAAGCATCCCTTGGGGGGCCGCTCCGAGGCTCCCCCTCCCCTCTCCCCGAGCCCCTCCGACCTGTCTTCGGCCCCCCAGCGGCTCCCGCTGCCCCACCGCCCTTTCTGCCCCGGCGAGAGCGGGGGGAGAGGACGGCCCTGCAATCCCGAGCGCCGCCTCCTGCCCTCCCCTCGCGCCGCATCTCCGCCTGCCGACGCACCCAGGGTCTCGCAGCCCCGATCCGCACCGGCTGAAATAGGTGCCCGGAGGCTCCGCTTATTCCGTCCTGACGCCTCCTTCCTCTGCCTAACGGCTCCACCTCCGG